GAGAACAAAAACTGAGGGACAAGGTGTGGGAGCCAGCATAAACAGACAGGGACACTGAGCCCAAACCCAAAACAGACAGAAAATGGAAAAAACGGTGTAAAAACCAACACCCAAGCGTTCCCAGAGGAACAAAAGATGGGCAGAAAACATAAGAAAAGCAAAGAAACGGCAACCGGAGAATAAAACCCCTGAAAGAGGTGAAAAACTCGCCCAAGACAGTAGCGCGCGCACCCAGGTGCATGTAAACAAACCGCAGCGCCGACCTGGTGGCCATGCTGGGAAACCGGCAGTAGAAAATGGCCACCATAAACAGAGGGCTATGACCAACGCAGAAGATATGAAAACACACCAGCAAATGTGGGAAGCAAGCAGACTAGGATGAAAAACTCCGCCCAGAAGCAGAAAACTCGGGCAGGGGCAAACAGCCCCAGAACTGCTAGCAGGCATCCCCCACAGCCCCGGGAACCCGCAACAGAGGCCCTGGGGCAGAGCAGTCCTCCACACCCTCTGCCCTTAAAGAAAAGGAAGAGTCCAGGGGAAAGGCAGCAAGAAAGGGCTGCTAATAAGACCCAGAAGCCTTGGCAGGGGAAACAGGCTCGCAAACCTCCGTCCCTAGCCCGAACGGGGCAGCCCCGGAAATCGCCCGAGTCTCGGCCCCAACTAAAACGCGCCCCAACCCCAAAACCCGCAGACGGTCAGGAGCCGGGAACAGGGAGGGAAAAGGATGAACAGCCCCTAACCAAAACAGGGGGCCCCTGGGGATCCGAGTGGGAAACCAACCTAGTGCGTTGCAGCAACTTAAACCCAGCTTGCAACGCAGATGCTGCCTGTACTCTGGACAGCAATAACATCAGGAGAGTGCTGGAGAACAAGCAGAGAACACAACTTGCAAGACTCCGGTCAAGGTGTCAGTGACCCAACAGGCAGCATGACAGGTAAAAGTGGCGACTGTCACCCGGAGACAAGGGCACAGCCATCGGCAAACCCGCACAAGTCGGGTTGGAACTCGGAAGACACATTCAATGGTCCACCGAGCCCCGACAGGGTTTTCCAGGGCACGTAAGGTAACAATTACTGGAAGCCCAGGCAAGGTGTTGCTAACCGGTTAAAACCCAAAACAAAAAAGGGGTAGAGGACAACACTAAAAATCCCTGCGACGTGTACAATCACGGGGGCCTAGCAGAAGGCCACCAAACACTACCAGTGGAACTATAACCACACTAGGTAGACCCCACCAGGGAAATGAAAATAAAAACAAAAGAAAACCCCCGAAAAGTACACCATCCCCAGAAGCAACAGGAACCGGTCGCCGTGTAGGTGGCAGGTCGCGCAATGCCTTTACGCCCTGACCAGTCCCTATCCAAGACCAAACAAGGGCCCCAGCTGGCCCCAAGGGCGAGGCAAATGCCGAGCACCAAGAACCTCTACGGGAATGGTTCCCGAATGCCCCAGAGAAGATAACCCTGTCACGCAGGGGCAGTACTCGCAGGGCCCTTAGGGAAGGAAGCCCCTAAGCACATGCAACCCGGGTACTGATGAGGAACACCTGGCCACCGCACAACACAACACACGGCAGTGAATGCCACGAAAGGAAACGCCGTCTAGGAAACTGATGCCAGAGAAGCGTCTGTCCCAGTTGATATTAGCTTAAGGAACTGATGCTAGGCAGCCGGCGCGGTGTGGTCCTGGGCACCCCTCCTCTCGGGGCAGGGAGGGCTGCGCGAATGATTGGCGCGGCAGTAAAGTGTGATGTTTGCTTATTTCCTTGGGATTGTAGGGAGTTTCTACTTCTGTTTGGTTTTATGTTTTTTTTTTTTACCATGTGAGGTTTTTGTTATGCCTACCTTTCTGGGTCCCTAACCCCAGTCGATGGCAGATACGGAAAACCCCAACCCACAAAGGGGGTTTTCCAGGGCCATTGCTCCCTGAAACCTCTCTAAAGGGGCCAGGTTCTGGCGCTGGTCCCTGGTAGGTGTGAACTCCTTAGCTAATATCCCGGTCTAATATAACATACATTAGCCCGATAAGCTCCAGGGAGCCTCTGGGACTCGCCCAGAAAATGGCGTTTTATTACATTCAACAGTGTTTTTTTTTTCGTTTTTTTTTTTAAATTAGTCTAAAATCAATTTCTGAAAATATTTTAATAGTTTCACGAAGGTGAAGCCAATAAGGTTGAAGATTTGTTTAATAATAACACTGATGCTCTGGGCGCGCATGCACCACACTACCCCGGGCGGGTTTTTGCAGTCTGCCGGAGCGTGCGTCAATTCTGAAAAGTGTATAATCTTTTCAACTTCACCTCAATTCTCGTCCTAGGTTTTTTAATTTCGTATCATTGTGTTCGCAATAGAATTCTCTACAGGACTAAAGGCATATTAAGAACAAATGCCCAGTGTACCATCCGCAACAAACAGAGAAAGTGAGGGCGTGTTACCCGGGAGCGCGCAACACCGATAAAATGTGTATACTCCTTTCACTTTGGTCACCTCAATTCTCGTCCTAGGTCTTTCATTTTGGTATCAATTTGTTCGCAATAGAATTCCCAACAAGAGTGTATGCATATAATGTCAAAAACAGCGGCGCACTCCACCCACTGACAAGATGATAGTTACCAGAAAAAGAACGCTGCACCACCCAAAGGCGCCTCTCTTTACAAGAGAGCGTGCGGTGATACCGAAATGTGTGTACTCTTCAACTTTGTCATCTCAATTCTCGTTCTAGGTTTTTCAATTTGGTATCAATGTGTTCACAATAGAATTCTCTACAGGACTAAATGCATATAAAGCCTAAAAGCCAGGTGAGAAAGTGAGTGTTACCCGGGAGTGCAAGAGCAATAAAATGTGTACACTATCTTGACTTTGGACATCTCAATTCTCGTCCTAGATCTTTCATTTTGGTGTCATTGTGTTCGCAATAGAATTCCCTACAGGAGTATATGCAAATATAAAGTCCAAAAGCCCGGCGTCGCACCCACAGCAAACGGAGAACGTGACGGTGCATTACCGCAGCGAGTGCTAATAAAGAGCTATAAAGTGGGTATACTCTTTTCAACTTTGTTACCTCAATTCTGGTCCTAGGTCTTTCATTTTGGTATCAATGTATTTGCAATGAAATTCTGTACAGGTGTATATGCATATAATGTCCAAAACCGTGGCGCGCCCTTCCCAAAGCCGCCGCCCATTTGCCGCCGGAAACGACGCAATGCTGTGTCGTTACCGGACTACCCCCGAGTAAAAGAACAACACAATGCTGCGCTGTACCGAGCGGAAGTGTTAAGTAATTTTGACATAATTAGAATATTTTTCAAGCTTATACCCCCCTTCAGTGTGTCACTTCATATGACGTTTTGCGCAGTTTAAGAGTTAAATGACAGTTTTTTATCTATAACCCCACATGGATATCTCATCAGAATTCTTTATAGCTTTTAAACATAATTTGTAGGTCATCTTATTTTCTCCTATTCCACATTCCATAATGTCGCATTTATTCACAATAAATTAAATTTCCCAAGTGTTGGTCCATACATGTCAATCCTCTTGAAGGGTATGACATCTTAAATTTATCTTCGCTAATGTCTTTGCATCATTAGCAAACATGTTCATGTAATTGTGTGTTCCTTCTGGTAAATTGTTAGTGTAGATAATGCACAATACTGGTGCATGAACTGAACCCTGTGGTACTCCACTAGTGACATTTCTCTAGTCTGATACATTGCCTCTAATTACTGTCATCATTTTTGTCAGAAAATTTATCCATGTTAGAAGCCTCCCTGTCACTATACAAGTATGTTTTAGTTTTCAGAACCACCTTTTGTGGTACTCGGTCAAAAGCCTTTCTTAAGGCCAGATAAATAAATGTGTGTAAAAATGTGGAGTTCATAAGGGCTTCAGAATGTTCATTTTCCTAACACATCACTAAAATTACTGTACATGAGCTTGGCTAAGTCAGTTTTGACTGCCAGCTACTGAAGCATCACTAGTTGAAGGCTTTTGGTTTTCGGGTGAAGCTTCACTAGTTAAAGGGTCTTGGCATGCTGTTTTTAACAAATAAGAATAGTGTTTTGCTTTACTCCTGTGTTCATTGATCCCTCATGATCAGGTCTTTACTTCAAGTACTGAGAAGTATTTCAAACTTATGGAATACCACAGTTGGATGAAAAATTAAGTAATTGTCAACAGAAGACATGCATAAACTTTATTGAGTAGTCTGTTGTGTTGATTCCTCATTGCCCTCTTCATCCACCTCACTAGTAATTGACCGGAGAATGTCTTCTTTCCTCCTTTGCTCATCACCCCATTTTGTGGATCATTATTATTCTAGCCATTCAACCACATCCTGTCTTTCTAAATTTTCACTAACATTTTGAAACGTTCCATAGCATCTTTAAATCCTTCAAAACTTGTACAGTATCTTCCTCTTCATTCACTGTAGCTATGAGGATTTCTTCCATGAATTATGAATTATTCACCCACACTTTGGCTCGGTTATGAATGGCTTCCTTGATCGAATAGTTCTTTAAATTTGTTTGGCCATGGTATTTCATCTTCCTTGAGAAGTATAACTACTCAAACTTTGCTATGCATCACTTGAGTGTACAATCTCTGAGGCACAGATAACTCCTTGATCCATAGGATAGATGAGAGGTGGTACTAGGAGGAAATGCCATATGTATGTATGTATGTTGTCATCGTTTGAGGTTAATGTATCAATACAGGGGTGGGCAGGTGATTATCAAGCAAGAGCACAGCCCTAACTTTGCTTGGCCTTGCTTTGTGTTTCTTGATTTGATGGTCATGAACTTTCTTGTAAAATGGTGAAACAAAGATATAGACAGATCTGTGTAAACTTCATGTTCTTAGAGACACAAGCTTTTCAGTAATTATTATTCTATTAGTTTTTATCCTTCACTCTAAATTCTTTGCATATCTGCATTTGTGTAACTTCATATAGTGATTGAGCCATGATATTCAAACAATTCACATTTTTCTCTTCTTGTTTAGCATTCTCATCAGTCAGGAGAGGATGAAATAAGCCTATGTATTCAAGGTCGTGCATACACCATAGATTTTCATTCGATGCAGCAAATCAACGATAACTCCGGCACCATGCGGTCTGTTCAAAGGCGCATGATGCCCGTAGGCTTAGGTGGAACTGTGCTTACAGCTACCCAGGTTAGTTCACCATGCCAGTGCTTACCATAATGATTTAACTGATTATGTTTTATTTAAGAACAGTCTTCATTTAATTTTTTCATTCTTATCGATTGTTTTACCTTATAGGCGACAGATGCTAGAGCGAAGTGCCTGTGTGATGATTCTGAGTTGGCATCCAATCTCATCCGCTCACTCTTTAGTTTGCTCTATGAAGTGTACAGTTCTTCTGCGGGACCTGCTGTGCGATACAAATGCCTAAGAGCCCTCTTGAGGATGGTACAGTTCTCCAGTCCAGATCTTCTACAGCAGGTGTTGAAGAGCCAGGTTGGTTTTGGTGATCTACAATCTTGTTAAAGAAAAGTTGTACTGAAAATGGTATTTTGTAGGTGATAGTCATATAACATAATTAAACATAATGTTAATAATTGTTTCTATTTTCAGAGTGTTTCATCTCATTTGGCCACTATGTTATCATCACACGACTTGAAGATCATTGTTGGAGCTATTCAGATGGCAGAGATCCTCATGATAAAGTTGCCAGAGATATTTGCAATTTACTTTCGCCGTGAAGGAGTGATGCATCAAATAAAACGCTTGTGTGACCCAGATGCTACCTTGGTAACACCAGCAGCTAAATGGAATAGCCCGGAGCTTTCCTTAGGGTCTGGTCGTGTTACAAATCCAAGTTCTACTAGTCCCTTGCTCACTGGCCGTCCATTCAATGGCAACTGCTTGGACTCTACCCCGTCTCTTCCTACACCACCAAATCAGGATGATGATAAATTGCAGAGCCCATCACAACTAAGACTTTACGATGTACTGAAGCGTAAACGCACAGCCCGTATGCGTACTGGAACCTGGAGAAAAAGTAGACAAGATGATTCAACGTCGTCATCGTCATCTTTCAGCGAATTCTTCATGAAGAGTGAGTGGTCTTCATGCAAAATTAAATTTTTTAGCATTAAGCATTTGAATGCCAACTGGTTTCCATAGTGATACATTTGGGACACCTGAGCACTTATTGCATAATTACTCATTACTTTGGAAAAAAAATTAAATATAAAAACTATTAATATACTTATGTGAACAATAAAAGAAAGTAGTATGTACAAGACCCACGTCTCGTTTTTCCTAAGATGCAGGCTTGGGGGGTCGAGATACATGGAGAGGGATGGCTAATCGTACGAAACTTGTGACGGGCAATAACAGTAGCAATTCTACGAGCAACAGTAGTGGTGGCGGCGGGAGCGGTGGCAGTAGTAAGTCCTCTTTCCTCGCTAACTTTAATCCTTCACGCTGGGGAAGGTGCAATTCTGCCACTTCAACTCCTTCACATGAATCACCTGCTGGAAAGGTTTGTTATATTGGATTTATTTTAAGAGTTAATGATCAATACAGTATTTTGGGTAAATTTTGACAATTGTTCAATTGTGTAGCTGCCTTTAGTAGTAGTGTTTTATAAATTTACACGTTTCACAATTTGGAAAGGAAAGTGTTGAAAGTTGTATTTTTTCAAATAGTTTTATTCAAGATTGTTCAGTAAATTCTGAGGGAAAATTTATAAAATCATTATTTCCAATTTTACAAGATTACATTGTTCCTTGTGTGTTAAAGAAACTAATTATCCCTAAATTTTTTAACTTCTGTTACTTGTGAACATTATTTTGTTTAATACATCCTTGCATAATTATTTAAGTCGAAGCTAAATCTGCAATTTGAGCTAATATAAATGTCCCTACTATTCCTCCACTCTTAATGTAGGTAGTCCTAAATTAATGAATGGAACCAATGCCCATGTAATTTCAGTAGGACTTAAGGTGACGACCCATTTGTGCAGATAAACTCATCTTTACCTTTCTGGTAAAACTGCTCTAACCTTTAAGGCCCCTTTACTCTCACACACACAGTCACACTCAATTTGAGAAGTACTTTTAAATACATGGATGGTGAAATGCTAAATAAATTAGTCACGACCTTGAGACCAAAGCTTGAATTTTCAGTGGTTGTATTGTAACATCTCGTTTTTTCTATCTACTGTGATGGTGAGAAGTAAAGCAAAATACAGAGGAGGAGGAGGGGGGGGGAAGGGAAGAGAGGGGACAAGGATTGGTAGATAGAACATGGGGGAGGTTGAGGCAGGAACTGAGGTAGAGAGGCGCGAGCGGGAATAGAAAAGGGGAGTGAACGGGAATAGAAAACAGGGAGCGAACGGGAAGAGGGGAGACAGGAGGGAGAGAAGGGAGGAGGAGGAGGAGTAGTAGTGATATGGGAGTAAGTAGGAGGAATAAGAAGAGTAGGGAGTATAGCCTGATTTTATTCTATCTATACTATCTATGATGATCTGATGAATGATATTCTAAGAATGCTGCCACTACCTGTCATTAAAACTAAATATAAATTCCACTTAAACAATGCGACAGGAACACTGCTTAATTTGGTTCTCTCACTTGTTCATCTAGATATCTCTAGTCTTAACTTTTACTTGAGGGGATATTGATTCAAAAAGAGGATTGAACAAAAGTCAAGCTTGTTCTTCTACACATAGACATTTATTGAATCAAATTTTTTCAAATTATTTCAATTTCCAGCAATTGATGTTTAACATTTTGACATCCTGTTATTTAACACAATATTGACCAAATTGAAAGTGAGGGGGGGGGGATCACCCACTCCATACACGCCCACACCATACATGGCTAAATGGTTCAGACTCCACTAGCTCGTCAACACTAAGACACACTTCTGGTTTAAGACAATGCATAACTGAACTCTTACCTCACTAACAAGTTCACCCAGGGGTGGGTGATGGCTAATCACCCGCCCAGATGGAGGAGCTGGTTGGATGTACTCTCCCTTGCAAAGGTTCCACTCTGACTACTCGACCACCTCGCTGGCCGAGCCAGGGGTTGGTACTCTCACAAGCTAGAACAGGGGCTTCCTTGTTGAAAGTAACTTGAAAATAAGAAAATGAAAAAGAATTATAACAATGAATATAGAAAATTTTAGATTTCCAAATGAGCATTAAAAATATAAAATACCACATTGTTCATTTGGTGGTGTTATGCTCAGATGAGCATAACACCACCTCCAGATTTATTGAGAATTATTATAGATTTATTGATCTCCAGATTTATTGAGAATTATTATAGGATTCAGTATAGTTTACTGTAAACTAAATTTTTTGTCAATATGGCATTTGAAATATGTGCCAAAATTAGACCAAAATATGTATAACTGCCATCATTTAAGGTTTATGAAAAAATATTCAAATATGATTGTAGAACACAGCTGTGCCCAATATATGTAAAGATGGTGAGAATTGGTCAAACTGGATTTTTCATGCTGGCTTTAATTGTAAAGAGCTGAAATTAGTGAATTGGAATTAGTTGAAACTCTAATTGTAGAGATAATTAAGTTGAAGATTTTGACAATGAATAAGGTACTGTAGTTCTAATTCTTTAATTTACTTGTATGTTTTAATAAACATTATTTGGCATTTGTACTCGATTATGTGAAAGTTGTAGGTCAATGTGTTGAAATGAAATAAAGAAAAATAACACCCCTAAAATAACAAAATTCAGGTATAATTATACTGATTTAAGGGATATGTATACAGTGGTATCTCGGAATACGAGTGTCCCTGAATATGAGTTTTTCGGAATACGAGCAGGATTTGCTCGGAAAATGTCTCGGAAGGCGAGGGTTACCTTGGAACACGAGTTTGTTTATACGTGTACAGGCCGACTAGCGCATGGTGGCACAGCGATCGCGCCTCAGTTTACCAGTGTCGCGCCCAGTGACTATCCCACCTGAATTTTAAACAAGGATTTAGTTTTTTGTCGGTTTTTTGGTCATTTGAGCATAAAAGTTGTCATTATATATCTCACCATGGGTCTCAAGAAAGCCATTGGTAAGGTTCAACCTAAGAAAAGAGCTGTAAGTAGAGGCAGTAGAGGATGTCCCGTCTTGATTAAGAAAATGTGTGAAGTATGGGAAGAATGCAAAGTTTTGTTGAAAAAACTCGCCCAGATAAAGCTGTAGCAGGCAGTTGCATTGACCTTTTAAATGACAATGTGATGTCTTACTACAGACAAGTGTTAAAATGTAGGGAAAAACAAGCTTCTTTAGACAGATTCTTAGTAAAACAAGCAAGTCCTAGTGGTATGCAGGCAAAATGTGCCAGTGTGCATACCAGTGAAGTCCTCACTGCCTGATGTTATAATGGAAGGGGACCCCCCTTCCAAACAGTAACACCTGTTCTCCTCCCCCCTCCTCACATCTTCCATACACCAACAGCAGTCCCCAGCAAGGGTAAGTAATAACTTGAACATAGTTTTGTAGGTATATTTAGATGAATTAGGTATAAAAATTTAGTTTGATGTAGGGTTTTTGGGGTAGTCAGGAACGGATTAATTCATTTCCCATTATTTCTTATGGGGAAATTAGCTTCGGAATAAGAGTTTTCGGAATACGAGCTGTCTCCAGGAACGGATTAAACTCTTAAACCGAGGTACCCCTGTATATACTTTATATAACTGATCAATTGCTGATCTGGTTCCTAATCATCAAAACAACCTAAGGAGACAAAGAAAATAGTTTAAAATCTGAAAAAATCACCCCAAATTAATTCAGTACCAAGTTCTACCAGTTGTGGCTGATGTATTTGTTGACCAATTACATTCTATCTTTACATAGTTAAGGATGGGTATGCACTCAACAGGATGTAACGACTACAACAAGATCAGATAATAAACAAAGGAGAAAAAAAATCTCCCGCTAAAAACAAATTTGTGGACATTGGTGAAATTAACAGATATTAACATTAGGCAGTGTATCATATGGTATATTATAAAATAGAGCATTACAACATACTTGCTCATTGTTGTTTTATTATGTATTACTCAGCAATGCTATAAAGGCACCAGCTGCATATCCACTTTGTGGATACTTTTTACTACTATTCTTCTTTGTGGGTCGGACAGATGCTTGCATGTCTTTATTACTGCATTATTCCTCAATTCCAGTTAATAGCTGTTCTTATCAATAAAGAAAAATTTATGTGAAGAGCCCCTACGGCGCCCTAGAGCTTATCGGGCTAATGTATGTTATATTATACCGGGACATTATCTATGGAGTTCAGACCTACCAAGAACCAGAGCCAGAACCTGGCCCCTTCAGAAGTGTTTCAGGGAGCAATGGCCCTGGAAACCCCCCCCCCCCCCTTCCTGTGGTTGGGATTTTTCCTCATTTGCCATCGACCAGGGTTAGGCACCCAGAAAGGTAGGCATAACTAAAACACCACATGATAATAAACTGAAACAAAAAAACAGAGGTAGAAATCCCTTACAATCTCAAGGAAACGAGCAAACATCACACTTTACTGCTGTGCCGCTCATCCGCGAAGTCCACCCAGAGAGGGGAAGGGGGGCCCCGGACCTCACTGTGCCGGCTGCCTAGCACTCCAGTTTGTAAGATAATGTCAGCCGGGACAGACACTTCTCTGGCCTCGGTTTCCTAGGTGGTGTTTGCCTTCGTGGCGCTCACTGCTGTTATTGTGGTGTTTGGTGGCCAGGCGTTCATCAGTACCAGGCTGCATGCGTGTAGGGGCTTCCTTCCCTAAGCGCCCTGTGAGTACTGCCCCTGCGTGACAGGGTTATCTTCCCTGGGGTGTTCGGGAACCATTCCCGTAGAGGTTCTTGCTGCTCGGCATTTGCCTCGCCCTTGGGGCCAGCTGGGGCTTGAGGCCCTTGTTTGGCCTTGGGTAGGGACTGGTATTGTGCTGGTTAGGGCGTCAAAGTGTTGCTCGGTCCGCCACGTGTGTGACAACTGGTTCCTGTTGCCTCTGGGGACAGGGTACTTTTGTGGGTTTTCTTTTTCATTTGCCTGGTGGGGATCTGCCTAGTGTGGCTATAGCTCCAAAGGTAGTGTTTGGTGGCCCTCTGTTAGGCCCCTATTATTGTACACGTCGCAGGGGGGTTTTCAGTGTTGCATCTATACCTTGTTAGCTTTGGGTGTTTAAACGGTAAACAACACCTTGCCCGAGCTTCCCGTAACAGTCAGCCTACGGGCCCTGGAAAATCCTGTCGGGGATCGGTGGACCACTGGGTGTGTTTTCCTGGTTCCATCCCGTCTTGTACGGGTTCGTTGGTTGCTGTGCCCTTGTCTCAGGGTGACAGTCGCCACTTTTACCTACGTCATGCTGCCTGTTGGGTCTGACACCTTGACCCGGAGTCTTGCGAGTTGTGTTCTCTGCTTGTTCTCCAGTACTCTCCTGATGTCCTTACTATTCAGAGTACAGGTGGCATCTGTGTTGCAAACTCAGTTTAGGTTGCTTCATTACACTAGGTTGGTTTC